CCAAAGTGCACTGTAGTAAAAATTCGTCCCTTACGGGCAACAAACATGCTGATAAAATTTCAGCCATGTTTTTCGGCAAGTTTTCGAGTTAGCACAGCACCAAGTTGCAAACTTTGACGTGATCGTACACACTACAAAAGCACGCGCGGCAGATGAATTTGAAATCTTCAGCTTGTACATGCACAGAGGATATCCCTGCAAATTTTCAGCTCTGTATCTTGCCTGGTTTGCGAAATCGTTTGCCGCCAAAGAAATTAGCATATTTCTTTCGAGGGTCTGTACGCAGGATCTAGGCGCGAACGAACGAAAATTTTAAAACGGGAGGATGACACACGGGGTAGGAACATATACCCAAGATTTCAGCCCCCCAGCTTCCCTAATAGCTGAGACGAAAGTGGATGACAAAGTTCACTCGCTTCCGAACACACACATAGGCGATCTCTCGACAACATGCGCTTTTAGGGGCTGTAGCAGTAAAAGCGCATACTGCGCTACTGTAGCGCTGCACAGCAAAAATGCATAAAAACAACATTCACGCATGCACCGGTTTTACGTCCAAGCAGGCGGATGTTTTGATGCGAAAAGTGCCGCCTCGGGGACCAGAACAGCTAGGAAGCCGAAATTTCAAGAGAATGTCCTCTGCCCGCGTATGTCCCTGCAAACTCAAATTTAGCCACCCGCACACCTAGATCTCGCGTTGAGACAGGCGGAAATTTCTGGCACCAAAATTAGCAACTCAGTAACCATGAGAGCTAGGAGGTTGAAACTGCACAGTAATGCTCCTACTCTCGTACAAATTCAGTCCCTGCGCATGCCTAAGTCTGAGCTATGAATAGGCAAAAGTTTCGGCCCCGAAATTAATAACTCGATAGCTACGAAAACTAGGAGGCTACAATTTTAAGAGAGTATTCCTTGTCCGTGCATAAATTCATTTCCGTGTACGCCTAAGCCTTATTTACGGACAGATGAAAGTTCTAGCGCCAGAATTAATAAGTCGGGAAATACAAAAGCTACAAAGTTGAAATTTTAGGAGAATGTTCCTTTTCCGCGTACGATCTTATTTTTATGCGTTTTTGCTGTGCAGCGCTATAGCAGCGCTATAGCGCTGCTACAGCCAGCA